TATATATATATATATATATATATATATATATGAACTACTCCATGCCAAATCGCACACTTTTTTCCTTCATATCCCGAACTTTTTTCAAATTTTGCTGATTAGCAGAGTCTAGGCCAGTATAGAAAAAGCCGAAGAAAAAACTGAAAAAGTGAATACCCCGCCAAGTGACACGCCTTAAAAGTTGCAGAATTTGCCAGATTACCACTTGGCATGCCTATCTTTGCAGACTTGTAATTTAGCTCGTTTTTAATAGAATTCAGTGGTTTTCCATTCATTAGATTTGTTATTTCCTAAATTTTGAATGCGTATTCATCGTTTTAATTTTTTTCAAAGAAATCACATAAATACAATAAAAATATAATTTTGAAAAGACATTTAAAAAAACAAAGTTTTAAATTTTTTAAAAAAGATATATTTTGTTCAAGATTTTTTGCTCCACAACATATCAAAATTTTGAGATGGCTATTTTCGGTATCGAGAGCTTCGAGTCGGAATGGGATGTAAAACTGAAAAAACTCACTGTTTTTACAGTAATCCCATGTATTTTACAGTGGAGGAACCATCTGGAACCGCTTTCGAAGCCCGCAACAGGCAGCTACGCCCTGAACATTAAAAATTTGTTTGAAAATTTGTACTTTATTTTAATAACAATAACATATTATTATCCCGCAGAGTTGTAATAGGTAGCCTTCACTCCAGCGATTTCTTCTTCTCCTGTTTTATTCTGTCAAAACTATGTAGCTAGTATACATTTTGGCGTCGTAAAGATGTCTAAAAACTCACTGCTTTACCTGGGTAGCTGTTAAATTAAGATTTTTCTTAAAACTTTCCATGTTTTCAAAGAACTACAGCACGAAAATTCAAAGAAGGACAACAGATCAAGCTTCCGTTCGCTTATGAAACCAAAACCTCAACGAGTACAAAATGGAGACAATTCTAAATACAAGAAGTAGAAAAAGCTGGAGTAAAGGTCACCTCCTACAATCCTGCGAAATAATAATTTGTTAATGTTATAAAAATAAAGTACAACTTTGGTAGCAAATTTACAACGTTTAAAGCACATTGGATATTTTTAGCTGCCCGCTGCGGCCTTCAGAAGCGGCTCCGGATGGTTTTGCCACTGTAAAATCTATGGGATTACGGTAAAAAAAGAAAATGAGATTTTTTCAGTTTTACATCCCGTTCCGGCTAGTAACTCTCTATACCAAAAAATCGCCATCTCCAGATTTTGATTTGTGGAGCAAAAAATCCTGCCCAAAATATAACTTTTCTAAAAAAATTTATAACTTCGTTTGCTCTGTTTGTTTAAAATTTAATTTTTGTTGCATTTATGTGATTTTTTAAAAGACTTATAATAATAAACACACATTTAAAACTCAAAACATAACAAACTTAATAAAAGAAAAAAAAAACCACCGAATTCTATTTGAAACAAGCTAAATTACAACTCTGCAAAAATAGACATGTCAAGTGGTGACCTGGCAAATTTTGCAACTTTGAAGGGGTGTAACTTAGCGGGAAATTCACTTTTCCACTTTTTCTTGGCTTTTTCTATACTGGCCTAGACTCTACTAACCAGCAAAACTTGAGAAAATTCTGCGATATAAAGGGAAAAAAGTTTGCGATTCGGCACAGAATGCCCTGTATATATATATAAAAAAAAGATATTCTACTTAAAAAACTGGTAGTCTGAACGGCACAATGACCAACCTGTAAAGCGGTGCAAAGAAAGAAAGTGATACGCCACCCAACCGAATGGCCTTTATAAGTGAAGAGCGTAGAGGCTTCTCCGGCCAAAGCAAAAGCTTCTTCCTCCACCATTCTCTCAAAATTACACTGGACTGTTTGGCATAGGCCCTTTGGGCAAGTAAATGGTGCTTTGCAATTAAACACAGAAACATATTCATCGTTACCCAGAATATAAATCCGTGCAACTCGACGTCTGCAAATGGCAAAACCCCAACAAGTTAACTGATAAAGAGATGAAAATAACGCTGAACTCATAAAAAATTAAACTAAACGCGAAAAATTATCTGCAACATGGCCCAACACCTGCTTCAAAAAAATTTCTCCAACTTTTTTCCATAACCTTTCCAACAATTTACTTGTGTCGTTTGCTTAAATTCATTTCATAATATCCGTTAAAAGAATCACACTTCTTCCTCAGAGTGCATATGGATACCCAGTCGTTAAAAAACGACTTTATTGAGATAAAGGTTCGATCTCGTTGGAACATTGAGAAGAAAATAAAATAATGAATCACAGTTTCCAAAAACAACATTCAAATTGACTGTACACAATAAAGATAGAGAAAAGAAATTAGTCAGCTTCGGTGTAAAACGAAATAATGTTTGGGTCAAATAAGAAAAACTATGCACAAATATGTAGACCTGTAGAAAAAATACTGCTCAGTTATGTTAGTAGAAAAAAACAATTTGTAACGAGTAACTGAAAAGTCAGAAGTGAAAAGTGAGCTTCAAATAATTCAAACCATCATTTTGAGCATTCACAACAAATATTAACAATACAAAACAATAAAAAGTAACAAATCCCTGCAAGATTACAACCTCCAATATAAACAACCAATAACGTACATCGCCAGCAAACTACAAACAAAAAAATTCTGAGAAATACTTTCAGGGAATAATACTCAGGAAACCAACATCCCACAGAAAGAAAAATTAAGTAACACTATCCAAAAATGCGACAGTACGTTAAAATTATGCTACTTTGACTATACAGTCAGTATCAGAATATAAAAGGTGTACTGTGCATTGAGCAACTATTTAGATCCTCAATGGCAGCCATCTGATGGCAAGACTACAATGCAGTTGATGAGTTAACTAAGATCCTACATCAGTTTGGTAATAAATCGGCTGCATCAATAAAACACTTAAAAAGGCAAAAGGTACAAATCACAAATATCTCAAAGTAAACGTCAAACAAAGATAAATTGTAAATGACCAAATTTCCAGTAAACAGCAAAACATACTGCTACAAAGACCTGGAACTCATCGTATCCAGCGTGCCAGCAGATAATAGTCTGAAAATATTAAAAAGGTTCGAATACCTTATATGATTTCAATAACTCTGTTAATTCATACAGCTTAGTAGAAATAAGCAATAAGTACCTAATTTTCCGATCAATGTCCACTTTTTTTGACTGCTCCTTTTTTTCTTTTTCTATCTGAGCCTTGCGTAAAGCCACTCTGACTGCAACAGTGTCAATTTCACGCAACCCTGGCTTTCGACTGTCCAAACGAACCTAAAAGTATAACGCAGTCCTCAGTTCAACTCGAATCGCTTGACTCATTAACCATAAAATTCAAAACGATTTCTTCAAATCTTTCAAGCACATTATAACGATTAACCTCCGCCGCTCTATCGCCAAAGAGTTCCAAGACTTTTGTACGATATTCAACCACCTGTCGAATTGGATTACCACGCAATATAATATGTTCAAGACAGGGAAGCGATCCAACTGGTAAAACATCTTCAGGAGAAGAAATTTTATTATCTCTTAGATCCAAATACTCAAGAGAAAAGAGTCTTGCAAGAC